GTCATCATCACGGTGACTCAGCCTGATAAATGTTTCTGTAGGATTGTTCTGGATTCATGGAGGGTCCGGATCACATTCTCTAAGAATAAGAATCAGCTGAGTGGTCTCTAAAACAACGACCGATTAATGACGAGGCAAAACAAACCATCTTATGTTTGTTCACACTCCGATACAGCAGGGGGCGGTATGCACCTGGTTGTTTTGAAAGAGGTAACCATGACAACCACTCACGCGCTGTGTCCATCCTGCTAAGTGAGGATGTTTTTGTTATTTCTGAGACGCCAACGTCGACCCTCTTCCTGCGTCCACATCGTGCAGCTCAGAGGAGGAAACGACGGTTCTTAAAGCGACAGGAGCCGTTTAGATTTACACCGTCGTGTAGCGGTCCACTTCCTTGTTTGGGCACGGTTGCGTTCACATCTCCCCGACCTGAGTACACATGAACCAGAGACCACCTCTGTAAGTGGACTCTGGCACAGTACGGACTTGAATGAACCGGACTTTGGGGTCAAGCGTACTCAGACCCGGGTCAATAATTGAGACGTTTTGTCGCCCCTCTTCCTCTCTCTATTATCACCTTTTTATGTAGCGCTCCTTTTTTTGGGGAGGGGTCTTTTTGTGCCTTTAAAGTAGAGACAGGACAGTGGCTAGAAACAGAAATCAGAGAGAGAGAGAGAGAGAGAGAGAGTGGGGAACGACATGCAGGAGAGGAGCCACAGGTGGGATTCAAACCCGGGCCGCACACTTGGAAGACTACAGCCTCTGTACATGGGGCGCGTGCACTAACCACTGCTCCACCAGCGCCCCCATGTAGCGCTCCCTTTAACCATGTAGAGCGGTGTTCTCAGACCCGGTCCATCACGTTCCCTCTCTCAGCTTCATCTTGTTAAAACTCTCTGCCCGTTACTCTGAGCTCGATTCTCACACATCTGTTCTCACACATAAAAATAAGATTGAAAGTGTAAAAAGACGTTTGTGTTGGTGTTAAGAAGCCGGCGCAGACAGCTGCTCTGTTGGTACCGATGTGAATGCATCTGTTCAGACAGGCAGGCGACTGGAAGCACAGCTGGCAGACGTCTGCTTCTCACAAACTGTCAGGAGCTACGCTCACAATCAGCTGCTAACAAGTCATTTTGAAGAACAGTAACATTTTATCAGGAAGATAATTAGACTGATGCTCCAAGTCCTGTTTTCATATTTAGAGGAAGTTCTGGACCTGCAAGACCAACAGAGGTGAGAAGTTCGAGGCCAGTTTAAGACCTGCAGGGGGCGCTGGAGTCCCATCGATGGCGTCCCCCGTCTGTCCCTGCAGGGGGCGCTGGAGTCCCATCGATGGCGCCCCCCGTCTGTCCCTGCAGGGGGCGCTGGAGTCCCATCGATGGCGCCCCCCGTCTGTCCCTGCAGGGGGCGCTGGAGTCCCATCGATGGCGGTCTCCATGCTGGAAATGCTGTCTCAGTGTAACTTTCAGTCAACCTAACGACAGGCTGAGAGCTGGAGCTGAGGCGGGTTTTAAACCTCCTGACAAACCGTTACACCGCGCCACCTGTCAATCAGGTCAGCTACACGCCTTATTGTGAATAACTTATCCTTCATCAAATCAAAACTGATGAGTCATCAAAACATTCACCCCCCGGACAGTGTGTGTCCATCCAGACATGAGCTAATCACACCTATTTGGTTTTTTGAACCAGGCTGTAAACATGTTCATCTCTGCTGTAAAAACAGGCTTTTTAGAATGGGTGTGTATGTGACTTCCTGTGCTTCTGCAGCCAGCCTCTAGTGGACACTCCAGGAACTGCAGGATTTTACACTTCAACATCATGTGTGGTTTAAAACATGATGCTGAAGTGTAAAATCCTGGAGGATTGCGTCTGATAAGTGCTCAGTAAACACAGTCACACTACATAATGAGGTAAACAGAGTTTAACTGCACTCATCTGAGAGAGAGAGAGAGAGAGAGAGAGCACGAGAGAGAGAGAGAGAGAGAGAGAGCACGAGAGAGAGAGAGAGAGAGAGAGCACGAGAGAGAGAGAGAGAGAGCAGAGAGAGAGAGAGAGAGAGAGAGAGAGAGAGAGCACGAGAGAGAGAGAGAGAGAGAGAGAGAGCACGAGAGAGCGAGAGAGAGAGAGAGCACGAGAGAGCGAGAGAGAGAGAGAGCACGAGAGAGCGAGCGAGGGAAGCACAAACATCAGGCTTTAAGAATCGGAGACATAAATACGGAGGATTTAATTGGAGCTGCATCTTGATGATTGTAGATTAATTTGTCAATTACTTCCTGATTGAGTCTCTGAAGAGTGCGTTAATAAAGTCGTCTCCTTTAAATCCCCGGAGCGCACAGTGACATCTTTGATTATGGTTTTAATGGACAGTGGAGTGAAGAAGATAATCCTCATGTTCCATAAATAACTGGATTATCACATTTTTAATTGCCCTGTTCAGAGCAACGTTTCTAGCCGCCATATTTACGGCCTGTGACGTTTCTCCTTCAGTGTGAATGTGGTGGAGGCGTGATGGGGGACGGAGTGACCCCCCCTCCCCGTACGTCTTCAGAGGCCTTACAGTGGAGAGAGGGGATCAGCTGATGCAGCGGGGAGAACAGCGCCGTGTGTGTGTGTGTTGTGTGTGTGTGTGTGTGTGTGTGTGTGTGTGTGTGTGTGTGCGCATGTCTCACTGTGTGTGTGTGTGTGTGTGTGTGTGTGTGTGTGTGTGTGTGCGCGCATGTCTCACTGTGTGTGTGGGTGTGTGTGTGTCTCACTGTGTGTGTGTGTGTGTGTGTGTGTGTGTGCATGTCTCACTGTGTGTGTGTGTGTGTGTGTGTGTGTGTCTCACTGTGTGTGAGAGTAAATATGAAATATTAAAATAAGTATCAAGTGAGGGTTAATGAAGCGGTTTACCTTGCAGCGTGTGCGAGGTGGACTCTGCCAGGGCGCCACAGTTCGATTGGACCAGAGGACCTCTGATGGTGACCAGTGAACTCCCCCGGTTGGTCAGCGCTGCCTTCAGCGGCGCCACGTGATTGAACTGGACCGAGGAGAGGCAGCCGACGAAACCTTTGGAGGCCGCTCGCACCACTTCCTGGTTGAAGTCGTCTCCTCCTGACACAGACGACGACATCATTCTTTACTTTTCACTCAAACATCCAAAGTCTCCGCACGGAGACGGGGAGAAGAACAAAAGCAGCAGAGACAAAGGGAGGACGGCGGCGCACGGTGGGAGGACTTACTGGTGACTTTGCCCAATGTCAGGGATCTGATTAGGATCAGCTCTGCATCAGATGACAGTGTGTACTTTGTGTGGATGTCCTGGTCGATCTGGTTGAGTGGAGAGAAATCAAATAACAAGCCAATTACAAGAAATCTAAACCGTGCTAACAGCAGCAGCAGCAGCACATTTCAATACATTATGGATCGAGCTCCGTGTTCTCTGCAGCTTCACACTGAACCACATCCGCCCACAGTTAGCTTTGAAGTGATGTCGACCTCTGCTCCCGCTCCACCGCGCTGACTCAGTTGCATCACTTAACTTGATGATCTGCAATAAAGCGCTGCCGGTTTCTGATGACATCTATGGCCGTTTTAAAAATGCACACAGAGCTTTCATGTGCACGTTTTAATGCAGAGGAACGTCGATTTGAAAAGCATCGCTCACGCTGATTAATGTTTGGAGAAGAAGAGAAAATTAAATCTGACTTCCTCACTGGTATGATAAACGTCTGATGATTACATTCATAAAAATAACTTCTGCAGGTCTGGAAGTCAGAGCTAAACGTTGCCTTAAAGGAGCTCTCAAACACATCCAGGTGATCAGCTGTCATCACATGCATTAAAAGAAACTTTGGCAGGGAGGGAAATTAGCACCTGCCAACTGCCAATTGCACGCCGAACGCCGGCGGTGGCAGGTGAACATTAAGCACACCTGTATGCCACCAGAGCAGAGAGGAGACTTTACATTTTAAATGTCCCCTTTGGAAAGAAAATCTAACAGCACAAAGACTCTGGGATCAAAAGTACTCAACGTTTGACACATCTCCTGTCACAGAGTTTTAGAGATGTGAAAGGAGAGGAGACGTCAAAGGAGACGCTTTGAAATCACCGTAAAAACACAGAATCAAAATCCTTTTTCAATACTTCAGAACATGAACTATATTCATGTTTGAAGTCTGAGTAACGTCCCCCGTCTGTCCCTGCAGGGGGTGCTGGAGTCCCATCGATGGCGTCACCCGTCTGTCCCTGCAGGGGGCGCTGGAGTCCCATCGATGGCGTCACCCGTCTGTCCCTGCAGGGGGCGCTGGAGTCCCATCGATGGCGTCCCCCGTCTGTTCCTGCAGGGGGCGCTGGAGTCCCATCGATGGCGTCCCCCGTCTGTTCCTGCAGGGGGCTCCTGCAGGAACAGACGGTCTCCATGCTGGAAATGCTGTCTCAGTCTAACTTTGAGTCAACCTAACGACAGGCTGAGAGCTGGAGCTGAGGCGGGTTTTAAACCTCCTGACAAACCGTTACACCGCGCCCACCTGTCAATCAGGTCAGCTACACGCCTTATTGTGAATAACTCTTATCCTTCATCAAATCAAAACTGATGAGTCATCAAAACATTCACCCCCCGTACAGTGTGTGTCCATCCAGACATGAGCTAATCACACCTATTTGGTTTTTTGAACCAGGCTGTAAACATGTTCATCTCTGCTGTAAAAACAGGCTTTTTAGAATGGGTGTGTATGTGACTTCCTGTGCTTCTGCAGCCAGCCTCTAGTGGACACTCCAGGAACTGCAGGATTTTTAAGGCCAGGTTTCTGCTTGTCTCTACAGCAGACGTCCACATGTGTGATAATGCTTCTTCCTGTCACTCTTTATTTCAACCAGCAGAATGATGTCATGATGTCGAGAATTATCATTCAAGTAATCGGATACTTTACGAAGGTAAAATAATATGGACAGCACATCTCTGTCTCCTTCTATTTTACAAAAGTGAAGCCAAAATACCAGCTAACTGAAGCACACATTAAACTAACCAATCAAAGGTCAGAAACTGGTTGTGAAAACGTTCTCGTCTGACGCCTTGAAGCTCGCTGCACACTGATCTGAATTCAACGAGTCGCGCCTTTTCCTGTGCTCAAACCGTTCTTCTGAAATAGCCTCCTCGGCTCACCTGTACATAGAGGTTCTTTCCCACTCGGTGGATCCGGACTCGATGGAGTCGCCCGTCTGCTAGGTTGCCGAGGGCGGGGCTGAACATGTCTGGACTCGTGTCTGTTTGAAGGTGATACCAGATCTGCAGACTCCCTGGACAGGAAGCAGAACATATTCATGTTAAACATATTCCAGTGTTGGCGGCGTTATGAGAGCCCACCGGAGGAGAGAGAGAGAGAGAGACATAGAGAGAGAGAGAGAGAGAGAGAGAGAGAGAGAGAGAGAGAGAGAGAGACACAGAGACATAGAGAGAGAGAGAGGAGAGAGACAGAGACATAGAGAGAGAGAGAGAGAGAGAGAGAGACAGAGAGAGAGAGAGAGAGAGAGAGACAGAGAGAGAGAGAGAGAGAGAAAGAGAAAGAGAGAGAGAGACAGAGACATAGAGAGAGAGAGAGACAGAGGAGAGAGACAGAGACATAGAGAGAGAGAGAGAGAGAGAGAGAGAGAGAGAGACAGAGAGAGAGAGAAAGAGAAAGAGAGAGAGAGAGACAGAGAGAGAGAGAGAGACAGAGAGAGAGAGAGAGAGAGAGAGAGAGAGAGAGAGACAGAGAGAGAGAGAAAAGAGAAGAGAGAGAGAGAGACAGAGAGAGAGAGAGAGACAGAGGAGAGAGACAGAGACATAGAGAGAGAGAGAGAGAGAGAGAGAGAGAGAGAGACAGAGAGAGAGAGAAAGAGAAAGAGAGAGAGAGAGACAGAGAGAGAGAGAGAGACAGAGAGAGAGAGAGACAGAGAGACAGAGAGAGAGAGAGAGAGAGAGAGAGAAAGAGAAGAGAGAGAGAGACAGAGACATAGAGAGAGAGAGAGACAGAGGAGAGAGACAGAGACATAGAGAGAGAGAGAGAGAGAGAGAGAGAGAGAGACAGAGAGAGAGAGAAAGAGAGAGAGAGAGAGAGAGAGAGAGAGACAGAGAGAGAGAGAGACAGAGAGAGAGAGAGAGAGAGAGAGAGAGAATACCTATTTACTGAAACGAGACTTCTTTATAAATAGAGTCTCTATCTAAACTTCTTCAATTGCTTTTGAGATCTCTATCTCACAGCTCCTCGCCCACACACTGAATAAGTCAATATGTGCTCCGTGTTCCTCACACACACACACACACACACACACACACACACACACACACACACACACACATCAAAGAGTCGGGGAGATATGCATAGTCAAGTGCTGCTGGGTCAATATTACAATTCCCTGTGTGTAGGTGAAGACGTGAAGGGCTTTATGTTGTGATTCATTGTGAACTCGGCGAGCGCTCGTGTAGACGGAGGTCGCGGCGTGGAGTGTCTCCTCTGCCCTTCTCGAGAGGGCGTGCAGATATAACACGGACGGGTGTATTAGGACACTGACTTACAGGAGCGCAGCGATGTCACTCAATATGACCCTACAAAGTTTGCAATGAGCTTAAAGCAGGAAACACCCGGTGAACGAAAGCGACACGTTTCCTTCTTCTCCAGACTCGAAACATGAATCTAAATCAAATCATCAAATCTTTCTTTTCTCTGATTCTTTTCAGATTTGTGATGGCAACCCCTGAAGATGTAGCGCCCGTTATCGAGTGCCCCGTTATCGAGCGTCCATTATCGAGTGTCCGTTATCGAGTGTCCGTTATCGAGCATCCGTTATTAATGAAAACAAAAAAGAAAAAGATAAACTTTATTGATCCCCGTGGGGGAAATTTGTGCATTACAGCAGCTCAAGAAAACAGGAGATGGGAATATAATTATTAAAAATAAAAACATATTTACATCAGTTAAATAAAAAAATACAATAATGGAAAATTACACAGTAACTACAGGAAAGAGTTATTGATCGAGCACCCGTTATCGAGTGCCCCGTTATTGAGCGTCCGTTATCGAGCGTCTGTTATCGAGTGCCCCGTTATCAAGTGCCCTGTTATCGAGCGTCTGTTATCGAGCACTCGTTATTGAGCGTTTGTTATCGAGCACTCGTTATTGAGCGTTTGTTATCGAGCGTCTGTTATCGAGCGTCTGTTATCGAGCGTGTGTTATCAAGCATTTGTTATCGCGTGTCCCATTATTGAGCGTGTGTTATCGAGTGCCCCGTTATTGAGCGTCTGTTATCGAGTGTCTGTTATCGAGTGCCCCGTTATTGAGTGCCCCGTAACCGAGCGCCTGTTATTGAGCACCCCGTTACCAAGCATCCGTTATCGAGCATCCGTTATCGAGCACCCGTTATGGAGCGTTCTTTATCGAGTGTCTGTTATCGAGCGTCCCGTTTTTGAGTGCCCGTTATCGAGCGCATGCTATCGAGCATCTGTTATCGAGCACCCGATATTGAGCATTCGTTATCGAGCGCCCGTTATCGAGCGCCCGTTATCGAGCACCCGTTATCGAGTGCCCGTTATCAAGCGCCCGTTATCGAGCGCCTGTTATCGAGCGCCCGTTATCGAGCGCCTGTTATTGAACACCCCGTTACCGAGCGTCCGTTATGAAGCGTCCATTATCGAGCGCCCGTTATTGAGCGTTTGTTATCGAGCGCCCGTTATCGAGCGCCCGTTATCGAGCGCCCGTTATCGAGCGCCTGTTAACGAGCACCCGTTATTGAGCGTCTGTTATCAAGCGTCCATTATCGAGCGTCCGTTATCGAGTGCCCCATTATTGAGCGCCCCGTTCTCGAGCATTTGTTATCGAGCGTCCCGTTATCGAGCAGCCCGTTATTGAGCACCCCGTTATTGAGCACCCCGTTATCGAGCGTCCGTTATCGAGCGTCCGTTATCGAGTGCCCCGTTATCGAGTGTCCGTTATCGAATGCCCCGTTATCGAGCGTCCGTTATCGAGCGTCTGTTATCAAGCGCCCGTTATTGAGCACCCCGTTATCGAGCGTCCGTTATCAAGCGCCCGTTATCAAGCGCCCGTTATCGAGCGTCCGTTATCGAGTGCCCCGTTATCGAGCGTCCGTTATCGAGTGCCCCGTTATCGAGCGTCCGTTATCAAGCGGCCGTTATCGAGCGTCCTTTATCGAGTGCCCCGTTATCGAGTGCCCCGTCATCGACGTCCGTTATCGACCGTGCCTTATCGACCGTCCATTATCGACCGTGCGTTATCGAGTGCCCCGTAATTGACTGCCCGTTATCGGCCGCCCCGTTAACCAGCGCTATCGAGCGACCGTTATCAAGCGAGCGTTACCACACCTTCAGCTCGCTGTGAGAGGGGACAGGGTGGTTGTTGTTTTCTCTTCAGCTGCTCTTCTGTCTCTGCAGCCTTCACGTCTTAATGGCCTCCTCTCTGGGACTCAATAAATGCAGCGTACATCTTTAACACTCAATCAAATAAAACATTTGAGTCTTTTTCTTTCTTCTGCACTTTGACGAGTTCAGGTTTATTGGACGTTGAGACTCTGAATGAAGACAGCTGCAGAGGAGGAGCAGAGCAGCAGGGGTTTCATCTTTTCATTAGCCTATAATCAGTCTGCTCTAAGTCGAGGGGGCGGCGCCCGTATTATTTCCATCCTGGCAGCTGTGCAGTGAGCAGTATGATACACATGAGCTGCCTCATTTCAACAAATAAACCTGAGATTTATTAAAAACATCCTCCTGTTCAATCTGCAGCTCTCTGATTGGCCTCTCTCTGCTTTAATAAAAGACTCTGCAGGATTGTTTTTGACTTCCCTTTCTTCCCCGTTTGATCTCGGCGCGTTTTTGAACTCTCGTTGGTTCGTGGTGTGAACATAAAGTGGACAAAAAAAATCCACAGCTGAGGAGGCAAGCAGCCTGTGTAATTATGCAAGCTCCTTCGGTAACCATGGCAACACATTTGTGTGTCAGCCTATGAGTGCTGAAACATAATAAAATGAAAAGGATTAAACAAAGACGAGAGGCGTCCTTCATCACGTTCACGGTGTTCATGCAGTAACACGATCCTGTGAAGTCGAGCGTCACGCCGCATGCACACGGGGCGCCTGTCCAGAGGTGACCACGTTCACTTTGTCTGAAAGCACTGAAAACAGCTGAGCGTGCAACTCTTCTCCTTAACGCCGTTATCTTGGGATCTCCAGTTAATTACTTTGTTATCTCCAGAAACTGAGATAATCACGCCGTTATCACGAGAAAACACAAAGGTCGTTCCATCAGAAACTTGTATAGCGTTCATCGGGGATCAGTTCACGCCGGTCTTTGTCATCGAAGAAGAAAAAAAACAGTTTCTGTCAAATTGACTAAAATGCAAAAATTAGTTTGAAGGATCTGTAACTCCTCCCCCTTCAGTCGTGAACCCTTCTGATGCTGCTGCTGACTTCCTGCATAAGACGCCGATCAGCTGCTCTGATTGGTTGACAGAACGCTGCAGGGTTTTAAACACACTAAACCAAAACATTCAATGAAATTCTCAGAGTAACAATAATCATTGAAACATTTTTCCTGGGTAAAACGCGACAGCTGATTTGATCTCTGAGCGACGGGACACGTGGCGAACGTTTGATTGATGACCCCGATGAAGCTGACCTTTCACCTCGCTCGCAGTCCGTCATATTAAATCCATAACTGTGATTTCAACGAGGGACTGACCAGAGGGCCGCATGATGTCAGCTGATTGGATGATTTCAAACAGTTCATCACTTTAACGAGCTGCAGAATGTTTGTAAACATGAATCAGCTGATCCACGTAGCTCTTTACAGTGAGAGGAAGAGAAGCTGTACAAACCGTTGTTGGCGAGGATGACGGCGATGTACTGCTGGCTGAAGGTGCTGACTGTCAGCAGCATGGCGGGCCGCTGGGACGTGACGAAGCTGAACGCCACGTCCTCTCTGGCTCGGCTGCTGCTCTCGGTGGAAACGCTGGAGGCCGGCGAGCTTCTGTTCTGCATCACTGAGAACGGCTCCTGGAAGGTGTAGGTCACCGAGGACTCCGAGTCGAAGGACACCGACACCTCTGCACACACGGGGGGACAAAAGGGGGTTTCAGCGCTGGCTGCTGTGACTCTCTCTGCAAAGGTTACTTTCTGTTCCGTTTATTCGACAGCTCGTGGCGAGAAAAGGGAATATATTAATGCAGCAGCGGCCTGGCCAGCTGGGAATCGAACCGGGGACATGCAGCTACAAGGCCATTTCACCCAAGAGACCTGGGAGGCTCAGGACTAAAAACCTGAACGTAAAGATCCTTTCCCCTCGGTTTGATTCTTAAAGTCGAAGAGATACAGGAGAGGAGCAGGAAGTGAGTGTCGCCATGGCAACAGAAACGACAGAAAACAGAGACTGAGGTTCAACACACGTCATGATGAGAGAGGGAACGATGAACAGAAACAGAACAGCCAATAGGAAGACCCTCACCCCCCCCCCCCCTCAAGTGGCGTGCTGCTGGGAGTCAGACGCGGGACAAGACGCCTTGTTAGCTTAG